CCTCTTCAGGGAGGAGGACATTCCCCCGTTGGCAGTCCCGGACCTGTCGGAAGGTCCTGCTGTGGAAAGTGTTACTTCCCAGTCCTCTGGTGCCCCGTTGCCGGTCTCTGATGCCAGCCTCGATGTGGCTGTGTGTGTCGGAGTGGAAAGAAGTGCATCCCCGGCTCCCGCACCTCAGCCTCCCCTGCCTGCCTAGTCTCCAGTTGTGTCTCCTGTGGTGTGTGGTCTCATGACATCGGACGTCGAGGCTGCGCCTCGGCCTGTACTGTTTCCGGCAGCTGTGTCTTCGACCCGTGTCGACGTGCACACTGTGATGTCTCCTGCGGTGTGTGTGGTCCTGTCCCCGGGTTGTTGAGGCTGCAATGTTGAGTGATCGTGCGCTGCGGGGAGTTGCACGGGCAACCAGCGGTTCTGCTACGGTGCTTCCTAGCGGAGGTGATAGTTCCGACGATCTGCGACCTGTGTCCAAGCGTTCGCGGCAAGCTTTGAGACTGTCTCCGCCTCGTAATGCGGTCTGGGCCGACGTCGGGGAGTTTGAGGACTCCGGGAGTTCGTCTTCTGGGGATGGTGATGTGTGCGACGTTGTTGGAGTGCCTGCGACTCCTGTGGGCCGTGTTGCAGCAGTGATGGATCCTGTGGTGGGATTGTCGCCTGGCCCTGGTCCGGTGTCTTCTCCGGCTGCCTTCGCGTCACCGGTTGCTGGTTCCCCGGGTTGGGAGGTTGTGGCACCGGCCGAGGTTGCGAGAGGGTAGGGGCTTTGGTGCCGGTTCTTACAAATGCTCTTGTTCCGGCGGCCTCCGTGCCTCTGGCGTCCATGTCTGTGCCTTCCACGCCTTTGCCCTCTGCTCAGTCGTCCTTTGTTACTCCGTCCCCTGTGGTGTTGGCCCTTGCACCATCGCCCTCTGTGATTGCGTCCCCTGCGACTCCGCCCGCTATGTTGCCGGCCTGTGTCAGGCCGACTCCTGTGCTTCAGTCCCGTGTGGTTCCGCCGTCTGTATCAAAGCCCTCTGTGCGGCCTCTTCCCGTGCCTACCGCCTCCGTGGTGGAGGGCGCCGAGCTGGATATTCCTGACTTTATGCATCGACCGCGAGGGTCACGTAGTCACGTTAACGCGCCTATGGAATTGTGGGCACAGTGGAATGCCTACAGGAAGAAGTACCCGCGTCGTTTCTATTCGGATAAATATGAAAATGATTGACTGTGTGTGTGGTTCTTGCTTTCTGTTGCTTTATTTCTTTCGTTGTTTTGTTGAGCTATGTGATACGGGTTCCTTTTTTCCTGTTTTCTTACCTAGCTGGGTTATAATGCTCTAGTGTTTTTTTCTTTTTTGCCTGTATTTCATTGTTACCTATGTGTAAGATTCCATTTTTGTTTATGCTTATTTAGGATTTGTTCAATTATCTGTGTCCTATTTACTGTGCTCTATGTTCCAATGTTGGTTTGTGTTATACCGATTCTTTATTTCTTATTTTGATATTTTACTTATTTAATGCAAATGTGTTCTGTTTCCTTTGATCTGTGTACTGTGCTGTGTATTGCTTTGTTGTATTCCCTTGTTATTTTCCTGCATTTTATTTACTATGTTGTATTTCCAGTGTTATATTACCATGTTCTGTTATTGTCTTCTCGATTCTGTGGTGTGTTGTCTGCTGTTGTGTGGTGTGGCGCATGGTGCGTGTGTTTGTGTTAGTTGGGGTTATTGTGTATATGCGTATTCCTTGTTTATATTTTACCCTTGGTTTTATTTTGCTCTTTGTGCGCTTTTGTCATTCCTGGGGCTTTTGGCACGCCCCATCTGGGTAGTGCTGCTTTGTTTGTGTGTGTGTGTTCTTTTGAGTTTTATGTTATTCTTTGTTTTCACTTTTGTATTATGTTGATCTGTGTTACGTGTTATGTGTTGTTGTTATTCTGCGTTCTTTGTTCTTCTGTGCTTTCCTGTTATATGGTTACTGTACGCTGTAATTGCTCTGTTTAAAAAATCAAAGAAAAAAAAAGTAGCCCATGCGAATTGTGTAATGTCTACATAACAGAGCACATCACTGCACTTTGGAACTTGGTTACCTTGGTACCAAGAGTTCATTACATGTCAATCCCATCTCATGCATGACAGAACTGATAGAGCTGCCCAAATCATATGTCTTCATAATAGTTGACTATAACCTTGGATTGCCTATAAGTAACCATAACGAAAATGATACACCAAGGCTTTCAACAAAACTATGTAGACCTGAGACAAAGTGAAACTTGCATTAGCTTTTTCATCTATCTTCATATTAAAATGCTAAAAGACACTTTAGGGTTGATTAATTTATGTTAACAATCCTTATAAGTACCTCATAAGAGCTGTAATTTATATTTAGCTAATGGAATTTTAGGGTTCATTCTGTTAGTCCATTATGTGCTTGAGTAATTTTTATTACTACCACCCCACAGGATGGCTGTGAGCTGCATAATAAATGAACTAAACAAACTACCAGGTCACCTCTATATACCTAGTTACCTCTATCTTTGTACCTTCGTCATAAACAAAAACCAAATGTTCGTTAATCCAGCCGCAAATCTCAATGTTTATAAATGAAAAACACTTTACACACGACTCACAACTGATGGCGTTCGAACAGGGATTTTGGTGTCGACCTCTGTTCGAATCGTATCTCTGTTAATTGTTATTTCTCAGCCCATCCTCCAACAACCCGTCCTCGACTCAAGTCCATTACATTCAGCGGTCAACCCCACAGACGCATTCATAAATTTTAACATGCTGTTCATTCAAAACGGGAATTTTCTTAAGTATAAATTAATATTATAATATATTAGCATATTGTGTATATATAGATATAGGATAGGTTAGGTTAGGTGTTTAGGTTCTGTTGGCGATTATTTGTATTTGTAGTACGTGGGTGAAGCATTTATAGCGTTGTGATTCGAACAAAATTCGTCAGTGAAGCACTTGTTCCGGATATGTTCGAACGTCAGCAGTTGTGAGTCGTGTGTAAACCGCTTTTCATTCATAAACAGGGGGTTTGGCGGGTGCATGGAATCACTTTTGGATCTTTGTTTGGAGGACGGGCTGCCTCCAAACAAAAACCCAAAAATGATTCCATGCACCCATCAAACCCCCTGGTTATGAATGAAAAACGGTTGACACACGACTCGCAACTGATTTCGCTCGAACACTTCCGGAACAAGTGCTTCACTGACAAATTTTGTTTGAACAACAACGCTATAAATGCTTCATCCCACGTACTACAAATACAAATAATCATCAACAGAACCTAAAAACCTAACCTAACCTAGCCTAACCCATGCCTGTATATGCACAATTTGCTAATATATTATAATATTAATTTATATTTGAGAAAATTCCCGTTTTGAATGAACAGCATGTAAAAAATTATGAATGCGTCTGTAAGGTCGACCGCTGGATGTAATGAACTTGAGTCGAGGACGGGTTGTATTTCTTCATCCACTTACTACAAATACAAAATAATTACCAACAGAACCTAAACACATAACCTAATCTAATTTAGGTTTAATAATACACCATATAATATTAATTTATATATAAGAAAATACAAATTTTGAATACACAGTACATTCAAACCGAATCACACACAGAGATCACACTAACGTGATGCATCAAATGAACAAATCCACAAGGGCCGTGACGAGGATTCGAACCTGCGTCCGGGAGCATCCCAGACACTGCCTTAATCGACTGAGCTACGACAGCGAAAAGGGTTGAAACCGAAGTTCTACTGAACTTACTGGATCCCGTAGCCTCTCCGAGGCACAAACCAGGCTTTTACACAACCCCCCTTGCACCCGAGCTGATGCTCCCGGACGCAGGTTCGAATCCTTGTCACGGCCCTTGTGGATTTGTTCATTTGATGCATCACGTTAGTGTGATCTCTGTGTGTGATGATGTAAGGGCGAAGAGGGAGAACGGCCTATTGACATAGTTTGGGTGCAGGGGGGAGGGGGGTTGTGTAAAAGCCTGGTTTGTGCCTCGGAGAGGCTACGGGATCCAGTAAGTTCAGTAGAACTTCGGTTTCAACCCTTTTCACTGTCGTAGCTCAGTGGATTAAGGCAGTGTCTGGGATGCTCCCGGACGCAGGTTCGAATCCTCGTCACGGCCCTTGTGGATTTGTTCATTCAAACCGAATAATTACCAACAGAACCTAAACACATAACCTAATTTAGGTTTAATAATACACCATATAATATTAATTTATATATAAGAAAATAGAAATTTTGAATACACAGTACATTAAAACCGACGAATGTGGAACGGGCACAATATGGACGAGCACAGCCTGAGGACGGGTTGCACAAACGGTTTTTTTAGGCTGAACTGACGAACATTTAGTCACTTATGGATCGAGATGGGCTCACTGAGAGAGGTCTTAATAACCAAATAACTCGGCGATCCAGTGAGGTTGAATTTTACAGCCCGTCCTCATAAACAAAGGCCAAATCATAGTCAAAAGGTCCATTCCATACACCCACCAAACCCCCTGTTTATGAGTGGAAAACGATTTACATACGACTCAACTGATGACGTCCGAACACTTCCGGAACAAGTGCTTCACTGACAAATTTTGTTCAAACCACAACGCTGTAAATGCTTCACCCACGTACTACAAATCGCCAGCAGAACCTAAACATATAACCTATCCTTATGTATGTACAGCATGGTATTATAATAATAATTTATTTATGAGAAAATTCCTATTTTGAATGAACAGCATGTTAAAATTGATGAATGTGTCTTTGGGGTCGATTGCTGGATGGAATGAACTTGGTCTGAGGACGAATTGGCCCCACGAGTCGGTTCGAATTGCAATTAATGCCTAGTGTTAATCAGGTGTAAATAAAAAAAATACGTAGAGAATTACTGATAACAGATAACGAAAGATAAAAATAAATTTAGTAATATAAAGAGACAACAGGAGTAATAATAATGATCTTAGCATACAAGAGCAGTTGTAACCGCTTAAGTGGCAGATTGACTAGTGTTAACCGCCTCTCTTATTCTTGGCGCACCACTGTGTTAGGTAACTCAGCGGTTACTAGGCTTGACCTGGCCGGGGAGTTCAGTAGCGGGAGGTCACTTGCAGTGGTCATACCTGCGGACCTGCGGTTAATATAAGGTACACCACAATGTTCGCCTGAGTTTACGGAGACCCGTGACGGGGTGCTGGGGACGAGATTACGGAGATCCGTGACGGGGTGCTGGGGACGAGATTACGGAGATCCGTGACGGGGTGCTGGGGACGAGTGTACGGAGATCCGTGACGGGGTGCTGGGGACGAGTGTACGGAGATCCGTGACGGGGTGCTGGGGACGAGTGTACGGAGATCCGTGACGGGGTGCTGGGGACGAGTGTACGGAGATCCGTGACGGGGTGCTGGGGACGAGTGTACGGAGATCCGTGACGGGGTGCTGGGGACGAGTGTACGGAGATCCGTGACGGGGTGCTGGGGACGAGTGTACGGAGATCCGTGACGGGGTGCTGGGGACGAGTGTACGGAGATCCGTGACGGGGTGCTGGGGACGAGTGTACGGAGATCCGTGACGGGGTGCTGGGGACGAGTGTATGGAGATCCGTGACGGGGTGCTGAGTATCAGTTTTAGGTCTTGGATGGATTCGGAGAAACGATACACGCTAATTTCTCCACACTAAAATTCTATAATTTGCACACTGAAGTCCATTATCATCAAATGTAGGCACCAAACCGCGAAAACTTGTGTATCGCCGCTAAGTTGAGGTTGTTTGTTTAGTAGAAAACTGGATTAATTCAAAAGTTTAATTTTGAGTTACTTTGTTATTAATGAAAAATTAGTTTATAATCCGTTTATTAACTTAACTGTATCTTGGATATAGATTTTTATCTGATTAGGTTTGTCTCTTTAATATGAAGGTTTCCAGATCGGAAAAGAATCATTTGATATGTAAGGTACATAATTAGTCAAGGCTTACAAATTATAAATTGTATACCTAAAGTTAAATTGCTTCAAAATTTTTGAAGTGGGCAGGATGAAGTCAGTATGGGAATATTGTTAACTGGTTTGCTGTTTTTTTTTTATTTTTTCAGATGGCGTTCAACGAGAGGCAGATGTCTGCCACGGGCTCTCAAGTTGACGAAGAGATGGTATGGTTGGGAGACAGCCCGATGTCAACCATAGACTCCAGCGATATAACGTGGCCCAGTGATACGCCTATGTTGTCCACGGACTCCAACGGTATAACAAGGGACAGTGATGTAGTTATGTCTGCCGTAGGCACCCAGGTCGACAATGAGACGGAAAGGTTGCTATCTACCATGGGCGTCGATGTCACCGGAATTCCCCAACCGAGTTGCACCTGCCAACTCTCTGGTGATTTCTGGGATGAGGGATCTAATTTGTATGGTTCAACATCTCGAGAGGCTGTTCATGACCCAGACTCGCGCACAAGGCCAAGCGACAGTGAGAAAACATCCAGAAAACGATCACCTGTAAACAACATAACAAAGCGCCAAAAAGAGGGAACCTATGTGGCGCCAGTGGAGGTTAACGTTGTCAATAATGATCCCAGAGTTCTGGATATTTTAATGAAGGATTCAATGATGCAACCCATGCCGGAGGTGACGCCTACTCTTCGGCGAAATGAACAGAGAGACATTCGGCAACACCACAAGTGGTGCTGCAAAATGTTAAATAATCCATTTAATTGAACGATTACTAGATGGATGTACAATGTTGGATTTTTAACTCGCATGGGTCTAGATAACTATTTGCTGCATGGCTAGTACAGTCGGTTTGTAATATAGTGACCTAGCCTAGTATTCACTACGGCTATAGTTTTATTGTTCCACTGTAATTTTAGCTCATTTTAATTCTCCCTTGACGAAATAGGTGAATTTCCATGTAAATAATTGAGCGAAATTTGTCTTGTGATTTTCGTAAAATTTTAGTTTAAACGCTGACTTCTCAAGCTCACTCCTGCGATTTTATTAAGTACGAAAATAAATTTTATTGCATGTCCTACGTTTTAATGTTCCTATACCGTGGTGGGTACTCTGTAGTATGCATGATCTTCTAGACAGTAGTCTCAACCATCACTGGTATAATACTAGTAGATACAGTATTTATCTAGAAATTACATTCAACCTTCAAGGCTATATAACACTTGGAACGGATAGAAGAACGAGAAGTTGGGACACGAGGGAATGAAGTAACGGTACCTAACAACTTGGGCCACTGGGAATCGAATGTACACCCTGTGAAACGCGATGTCGTCGCTCTACCAACCAGTCTGTCAAATAAATACTAGTGAGACGCTTTCTGTTCTTGCCTCCCCATCTTGGTAAACAAAAAGAAACTCTGAAAGAGACCTTGCTGTCTGACGTCTTCAAAATTTATGGTTGATTTTTCTAGATCTATGCTGGCAATCCCACGCTAAAGACTTGGAAACAAATTCGGTAAAACATCGTTACAACCCATTCTTTGTCCGTATAAGCAACCCACTCCAGACGCATTCGTCTTTTTTAACGCCATGTGTAACAATAAACAATTATTAAAATATAAATTATCGAATGTGCATTATAATTGTTATGTTAATTGTTTTCATTTGTTAGGTTAGATGTTAAGGGTCTGTTGGCGATTATTAAACCCGTCCTCCTAATAGAGCACTACATTTTGTAACACTACCCAAAGCCAAAAATCGTTGCACTAGAAAATGGTAACGGTTCATGAAAATACGTAAGTCCATTCCAACCAGCGGTCGACCCCCAAAGACACATTCATAAGTTTTTACATGCTGTTCATTCAAAACAGGATTTTTCTTAAATATAAATTAATATTATTAGATAATAGCATATCATACATATACAGGCATAGGTTGAATTAGGTGTTTAGGTTCTGTTGGCGATTATTTGTAGTACGTGCGTGAAGCATTTACAGCGTTGTGATTCGAACAAAATTCATCAGTGAAGCACTTGTTCCGGATATGTTCGAACGTCAGCAGTTGAGTCGTGTGTAAACCGCTTTTCATTCATAAACAGGGGGTTTGGCGGGTGCATGGAATCACTTTTGGATCTTTGTTTGGAGGACGGGCTGGGTTCCGACAAAACTCGTCAGGGAAGTGTAAAGTGTTCGAACGTCATCAGTTGAGAGTCGTGTGAAACCGTTTTATATTCATAAACAGGGGGTTTAGCTGGTGGATGGAATCCCTTTTGGGTCTTTGTTTGGAGGACGGGCTGCAGCCTCATAAACAAATGTCAAAGTCCATTCCATGCACGCACCTACAGGTGTAGGTTCCACCTATATCAAACTTGTCAACACAATCTAGTATATAGTATGCAATAGTATTGCCTTATAGAATTTTATTGGTTCTTGTGCAATTTTTCGTTTATAAATCGGATTTGGAGGCTGGGTTAACGGTCACTTGCTTAATGGTTGAAGGGGTTGCAGTTTCCAATGAAGTGTAGTTCTATTTGACGTGACTCGTTACATAACATCTGTAATCAATACTTCATTCACAGATTATAAACACTTGGGTCACTATCTATAAAGCTCTCATAATGCAGTACAGGCTCTTAAGAAAAGACCGTTGGATTCACAACATTAGTGGAGCCTGACCACGGGTACTCCCACTTGTTATGCGGCTTCGGTCACTATAACAGTCATTTCTCAAAGCTACTATTGGCCGTGATGATAAAATGTCTCATCCTGCTGGATGGTTACATTCAGGGTATATTATGTTAGCGAGGGGTAGTTGGTATATTATGTATACCTGTTATAATACATGTCAAAAGTATGTTGACAGGATGATGAATATAGCGAGGACTAATTTCTTAAAATATCTGTGAGTATTAAAATAAGAAGAGGTTGTAATATATCCACTTTAATGAAAAAGCTTATAATAACTCATTTAATATTTGTAAAGCAATACTGATTTATGGTCATAAAACAGATCTGAGCAATTATAAAATTGATCAATCCTGAATTAGAAGCATAAATCGAAAAAAAATCGGATCCGAGAATGAATAGAACGTTAGGTGGAGATGACGGTTCACTGCAGGCGAGCGCTTGAGTAGATCTTCATAGTGCTGTAGCGTCCACAAAACTGGTACTTGTGTTCAGAATATAACGTAAAACACTGGATCGGAGACGAGGCAGACACTGCAGTATACGTTGTTGGTCAGATCCAGGACCCCAATAGGTTCTTGTCGGCGGAGGCATACTTGTGACTCGCTGATCAGTTTGAACACGACCTTGCTGGAACACTCCATGGTTAACTTGAGATAACACTTACGTTAGTGTCTGTGGCGCTCAACAACAGCACAGCATGTTGTGCGCTAACGCAGGAGTCTGTTCAAAGACAAAAAATTCAGGAAGAAACTGGTTAAAGCGCCAGCAGGTGTCTGCGCGGGCGAATGGCTACGCAGACCACCCAGGTAACACGGTCCACGCCCTGACCCTCCCGGGTGACACGGTCCACGTCCCGAGCCCCTGGGTAGCACAGTCCACGCCCCTAGCCGCCCGGGTGACGCAGTCCATGCCCCAAGCCCCTGGGTTATCTTGGTTATCTTGAGATGATTTTAAGGCTTAGTGTCCCTGCAGCCCCGTCCTCGACCTGGCCTCCACCCCCAGGAAGCAGTCGGTGACAGCTGACTAACTCCCTGGTACCTATTTACTGCTAGGTAACTGGGACATCAGGGTGAAAGAAAATCTGCCCATTGTTTCTCGTTGGCGCCCGGGATCGAACCCGGGACCACAGGATCACGCGTCAAGTGTTCTGTCCGTTCAGCCACCGGCTCCCTTGGCAGGGGTAGCCACCCTTGGGTGGCACAGTCCACGCCCCGAGCCCCACCCGAGTGACATGGTTCATGCCCTGAGCTCTTCGATTGACGCAGGCCAAGCCCTGAGCCCCTAGGGTGATGCAGTCCACGCCCTGAGCCCCTCGCGTGACGCAGTCATCGCCCCGAGCCCCCAGGGTGATGCGGGCCAAGCCCCCAGGGTGATGCGGGCCAAGCCCCCAGGGTGATGCGGGCCAAGCCCCGAGCCCCCCCCCCATGATGAGGATGTTAACGCCCCAGGACCCCCCCCACCGGGTGAAGCGGTCCACGCACCGAGTCCCCCTGATGAGGCAGTCCATGCCCCGAGCCCCCCGATGAGGCAGTCTACGCCTCGAGCTCCCCGGGTGATGCAGTCCAAGCCCCGAGCCCCCCTGATGAGGCAGTCCACGCCCCGAGCCCTCCGGGTGCCGCGGTCCACGCCTCGATCACCCCTGGTAAGGCAGTCCACACCCCGAGACCCCTGGGTGATATGGGCCAGACCCCGAGCCCCCCCGGGTGACGAGGTCCACGCCCTTAGCCCCTCTGGGTAACGCGGTCCATGCCCTGATCCCCCAGGTGACGCAGTCCAAGCCCTGAGCCCCACGGGTGACATGGTCTACGCCCCGAGCCCCATGGGAGACGCGACCCATGCTCCGAGCCCCCGTGACGCGGTCAATGTATTGAGCCCCCCGTGACGCGGTCAATGCCCCGAGCCCCCCGTGACGCGGTCAATGCCCCGAGCCCCCCGTGACGCGGTCAATGCCCCGAGCCCCCCGTGACGCGGTCAATGCCCCGAGCCCCCCGTGACGCGGTCAATGCCCCGAGACCCCCCGGGTGACGCGGGCCACGCCCCAAACCCTGGGTGACCCAGTCCAGGCCCCGAGCCTCTCGGGTTTTGCGGTTCACGCCCCGAGTGGACCGCGAAAAAATAAAAAAAAAATAAAAAAAATAAAAATAATAAAATATATATATATATATATATATATATATATATATATATATATATATATATATATATATATATATATATATATATATATATGTCGTACCTAGTAGCCAGAACGCACTTATCAGCCTACAATGCAAGGCCCGATTTGCCTAATAAGCCAAGTTTTCTTGAATTAATATGTTTTCTCTAGTTTTTTTCTTACGAAATGATAAAGCTACCCATTTCATTATGTATGAGGTCAATTTTTTTATTGGAGTTAAAATTAACGTAGATATATGACCGAACCTAACCAACCCTACCTAACCTAACCTATCTTTATATTTTAGGTTCGGTTAGGGAGCCGAAAAAGCTAGGTAGGTTAGGTAGGTTAGGTAGTCGAAAAACAATTAATTCATGAAAACTTGGCTTATTAGGCAAATCGGGCCTTGCATAATAGGCTGAAAAGTGCGTTCTGGCTACTAGGTACGACATATATATATATATATATATATATATATATATATATATATATATATATATATATATATATATATATATATATATATATATATATATAAAGTTTGTGAGGGTACCACCTCTGGTGCCAATGTGGGGACCCATAGCCTCGGAGAAGAAAATAAAAAGTATTCAGAGGAGACCTTGTGGTTTCTCACAGTGTGGTTTCTCGTGCGCCTTCCCACTCGCGCGAGAAACACCCACGGCAGGAAGAGCAACAGTGGCATATCCGAGACATCAAAAATCAGAACATCAGTCACCAAGAAAATAGAAGAAGGAAACACTATTGGCGCAATACGAGTCATCACCAGTGAGGACTCAATTGCCGACAGAGATGCCGCAACAGCTCAAGCCCTAAGGGAGAAACACCCACCCAGGGCTCCGCGTGAGGACGACATTGTACAAGTGGGGGCTACCGGAGCAGAACCTCTATGGGTGGCTGAATCTGTGGTCCATAAAGCAGCCATGTCCTTCCCTACAGGATCAGCAGGTGGGTTCACAGGACTAAAACCCAACCACCTCAAGCAAATGCTCAACCCTGCACTGGGTGACATTGCAAAGAACCTCTTGGTGGAACTAACCAGATTCACCAGCACATGTCTAGCTGGCAACATATCAGCGTCCATAAGACCTATCTTTTTTGGAGCATCTCTCTGTGCTCTAAAGAAAAAGGATGGAGGGATCAGGCCAATAGCTGTGGGCAATTCTCTCCGGCGTCTCGTCGCAAAGGCAGCTGCAAGAACAGTTAGTGATGCAGCG